TGATAATCGGATTCAATGTTATCACCACTCCTTCTGTTTGCTGAAAAGAGCACAAGTTAACTGCGGGGGATAATTTGTGCTGATTGCGATAAAAGACTTATCCAGTTGTGACAAATTGTGATGTCTCTATTCCAGTTAAATTGTTCTATTCCTGTTCTGTTCCATGGTATAGAATAGAACAGTTCGCAAATGAGAAAAGAACAGTTCGGAACAGAATAGAGCCGTTTTTGAGCCCAAACGAACAGTTTTCAAAAAAGTGGTATAGAGACATCACTAGAGACAATATGTAAGTAGGCAATCGCGTTTTTTTAACAAATTACGAAAAACGAATTTTGGAACCATTACGAGAAGAAACCGTAACGCGATATAGTAGCAGAACGATTGGTTGCTTCAAATATGAATTTGAGCATCATTGAAGTTACCTTCTTTTTGAGTTCCTCATGCAAGTAGCTGGCGTTTGTCAGGCAACCATCAACCTTCTCCATAAAATCAATAGTGCATGCTTGTGTTTTCAGCACTTCTCGATCGCGAAAGCCTAGACGAAACTTTTTTTTTGGTCTCAGTAAGGATTAAATTTTTTGATCAACTCTACTGCTAGAAGCTAAAAATTGATCTGACCGAGAAATATGTTTAGCACAATTGGAATGATTGGAATTTGTTGGTGTAATTATATTTGATGATGACATCAGTTTTGACGGATAATTTAAAGGGAAAGCAAAATAACCGACTGCGTCTACGCGTTGCATCACGCAGTTTTCGTCGAACTTCCACCATATCTTTACGATTCACAAATATGATTCCCGCATTCAGTATCTCCTTTTCACTCTCAGATTCCACCAATAGATACGGTATTCTGCATGCGCACGTCTGAAGATGAAATGCCGTAACGATGCGTTTTGTTTACTTCTCAGAAATCAAATGATTCCAAATCTGCGATACTTCATTACTTGTCAGATTGGAATGCAATAGTAGGTATCTTGTTATGACATGACTGGTAATCGAAATAGTTTGGAAGCATACATCAGTGAATAGTGTGAAGTGACCACGAATGACTTTTTGCAATTACATGACTTTTGCAGTTCATCTGAGACATTTTGTTAGCATGCGATTTCTTTCACAATAAGATGCGATTCCTTTGAATTGCTTTGTGTGACGACACTTCCAGGGGATCCATATCAGACTTTTACCAAAAGGAATAACTCAATGCGCATCAAATAGTTGAAAATCAGTAAGAAAAAGCTGCGAGAAAATCAGAAAGAAAAAAATCAGAAAATCAGGAACTGATTCCATCAAATGATCAAATGGAATGGATGACGAAATATGCGGATTAATGATGGATTGATTGTAGTGAATGGATAAAAATTAATCAGAATGGGCACCTTTCCTTCACTCGAACCAAGTGACTAGCGTTCGTTATTTCTTTTTATTTCTTTTTTTGGTTTAAATTAAACGACTTCGAGACAATGCGTTAATTTCGTTAAATATATTCCTTCATATGGAAATTTTTCATGAGTCATTGCAGATCGAAACAGAAATAACGCAATGGATCATAGAATATGCACTCGAGTTGGGGAATATGAAATCATGAATATAATGAAGTACAGTTGTACGCTTAAGAGACTGACGTTCTGGAGAATAGAAGTTTGAAAATTTTAGTTTCCGAGCGCACTCTTCGAATCGTTTTCAGAAAGCGGACATTGTTTTTTGGGCCAAAGTAGGCTTTGACTCAACTCTATTTGTGTTCTCAGTCAATTGATTTCACTTTTTTCTCTGGAATTTTGAAGCAGTTCCACAGATTCTTCTGAATGGCCCAAATAAGCAGCCGTCAATATTTCATTCTGAAGGCGACTGAATTTTTTATTTGGTTGTTTCCATGCCGGGCTATGCACCGAATTTTGTCAATAACCTAATCGAATCAGGTGAATCTCTTACAGATACCGAAAAAAAAACATCAATAATTAGAAAGTAGAACCTGACATCCGTCGAGTTGTGTATACACGGCACAAGTGGGTGCTTTTGCAGGGCAAGTCACCAGTGGACATTTCTTTGCAGGCCCACAGTTGCAATTATGCGGACATCCGTTCGGTTTGTAACTGATTTCGCATCGATCCGGACATTGGAATGTCCCTTCACATTGCAGTGTATCTGGCACATAATATTTTCATTCAGACAAATCGCGATCGATACCATCGCTGTTCGCAACATTAAACAATAAAATTTTTTTGTGGATAATCAAGAGATGACCTCAAAATAGGTGGTCTGATCATCAATGAAATCAACGTTCCCTTCAAATATTCGATACTCCTCTCAAACAATGAATCATTGCTAAATCACTGAGGAAGTTTCATGAGTTTGACTGCAGTTATCTACGCTCTGATGAAGAAAAAACATCTTCTCCAAGCAAGATGTGACATCTACAAGTGAAGTTGACGTACCGATTGCAACACCGTAACTGCACACTATGATTAGCAGAAGAATGAAACAATTCCGAATCGTAAGCATTTTGCTGACAATAGTCCAAAATAGTAGTACCAGTCTGAGAATAGGATTGATAAAGAGGAGAACGGATATAATTTCGGAATGAGATGGGCTGTTGTCAGTCTTTAGATGAGTGTTATTAGGTGCGTAATACAGACCGGATTATATTGACCATGAACATTCGAATGGTCAAGTGGTCGTCGTCGATTCAAAATGACCACCAGTAGTTTGTTCGAATTTTTTCTTCTTTTATTCGGATGATTCTTTTATTCACTCATTTCAGTCGAACTTCGACAGCACAACGATAAAAATAACGCTCACGAAAACAGTATAATAATACTTTTAATAAGATCAGTAATAACAGTAATATAAAATTATGTCAATGTTGCACGACGGGTTTTGTGGCGAGTTCACGAATGCATTAACTGAAAATATTAGTAACACCCGTGGACAGCGACAATAATGTTCTTTTGAAATGACTAGTGAAGATGACGACGGGCGGTGCGCGATCGTGATTCTGTTATTCATCGCATTTTCTTTTGACTTCTTTCTTCTCTACCAACGGTGAAATATAACCCATTATTCTGAAACAATTGAACAATCCGAAAAAAACAAACGAATTTCTGAAATGCACTGGAACATACTAAGATATGAAATCTCACCGGAGTTTTTTTTTTCGAATAAACAGGTTCACTAATAAACATTCTCGTTTGGTAATTTTTTTGTTGCTCTCGAATGACCAGTAGCGAAGAAATGCATCAATCATTTGATAGACTGATCACGGCGGGAAGTTTTAGTGAGGCAGCGGACAGGAATATTTTACTATTCAAGTTGGAGCACATGCAAATTTTGCAAATAGAACATATTCTTGGTGATAATCTGAAGAGTTTTGAGTTTTTCGTATTACACTTTGTTCGCATCGATTGTTAATAAATTATTTCATTCAGTGTTTTTTAAATTGATTTCTTATCCACTTCACCAACTCGTCAAATCCTTCTCATTAGATCTTGTTTTGTGCAACTGAGATGCTATGAATCAAACGAAATGAGCCTTTTTGATAACTGGCATGAGGCAGTCTCTCAAAATCATGCGAGCGCCTTATTTTCAGAGCGGAACTCGTGTTTTTATCTGAATGATAAAATATTTTCGTGCTTAACAAACGACAATGGATGAGATGCAATAGTCATGGCGAGTAGGATTTCCGTGAACAACCAGAATATTTCTGCATGCAGATTGATCTGAATAGAGCATCACACCATCCAGAACGCATCGCAACTTATACGTGTACAAAAAACTCTCTGTATCCAGATGTTCAAGTAAATGCAAGTGGTGACCCTCTTAAGCAAAAAAATGCATCAAAAATCATTCAAGTTACTTTTCACTACCGTTAATCTGATGTGCATTCAGTTGAAATGTTATTGTTGAAAAGCAAAAACGCGAAATTCATCCGATTGCATTAAAGATTTTATTGACACTGATATTGACAATTGACAAAAAGATACTATACATCGCAATCCTAATTTTGACAAATATGGAAGTTTACAAAACGAAATTAAGTTGATTTGTGACCACCTTTAAGAGTTCATCTCGACAAATTGGTTGGTTTTCCGTTCACGGATTGTATCGTATATAAATGTTCTTATTGCGTCTTATGTCACCTGTTCCAGTCTAAAAATTTGGTTAATGAGTCTCAATTTAATGACGCAACAGCTTAAAATTACTATTGAACCAAGTTCTCTTGAGTTTCATCCAGTTGTGGCTCAGGAAGTATATCTACTGACCTGTTGAAGTAGCTTGTGGGAGAATTCTGTCGTTTCAGGTGGGCAGTAAACGTATTCGAATTTAACTCGATCTCTGGTCATTCTTTCAGCTTCAGATGCACTGTACTTGAATTGCTGCAATCATGTTTAGCTTTTTCTCAAAGCTATCAATCAATCAACTGTTATAATTGTTCGATGTATTGCAAAAAAAGCAAATTCACTTATATCTTTTACGCTTCGTCAAACGTTCACTCAATACAAATCAATGTAAATCCCATTATGTAAATGTAAGATGTTCAACGTAAATCTAATTTTCTATTATTTACACTGTTGATGATGCGTGAAACGAAATTCGCTTTCAATTGTCATCAACGAACAATGAGCGATGGATTTATTTGCGTGTGATAAGTGTCGTCTTATTACGTCCTATGATTGAGATATGAATAATTGAAAAGACGACGCGTTGAGCGTTTGTAAAAGACTCCACTTCAAATAACGAATCCTTTCATGTTCTTCTGATCAACAAAGTGGATTTTTGCACACAAAAAATGAAATGAAAAACGTTCGTTGAACAACAAATTGCAGTTGAACGTAATTTTGACCATCCAGTAGGGCGTCAACGGTGAAGAGCTTTTTGAAAAGAAAAACGAGGTTCAGACGAGATTCAAGGAAACGTGGCATTATATGGTATAGGATATCGTAGACGTGATATAAGAATCAACCTTAAGTGTGATGGCCACATGAAGCGTTTGCTGTGGCTTTATGATTCCAGATGGTGGTTGTGCGGAAATTCGTTCGAGCGCATTCGTTTTCACGGCGAATGCTATCGTTCTTGTACACGTGTTACGAATTTGTATGTTACAACTGAGATTGTTGTCAGTGAACGGTCCATTGAATACCTCGAATAGACAGATGATATTTCAATAAAGAATCTGGGAATATCTCCGAAATTAATGCATACCTGTCAGCCTAATGCTTCTCAACATTCAATAAACGATTATTGAATGAAGTTAAACCTTCAAAATTAATTTAAAACAATCCGCCTAAACACTTATGAAACTTTCGCATTTGATTTTTGCAGTACAATTCGAGTATTCAATGAAATACTAATAATTTGTGAATTGCTGATATTTATTATATCTTCAGTAGCCATCTCATATTACAAAGAATCTCAATGCATTTGGAGCCATCTTTGGAGCATGGCACAAGTCAAATGTTTCTTCTAAGGTAATCGCTTGAATTTCTGTAGAAGAATTCGAATATCATGAAATGAATGCTTACAAGGAAGTATGTTGGTTTGAATTCCAAATCATGTGCATCTATTGAGTCGATAAAACTTGTACTGCTCGACGAAGCTGCTGCCATCTCATGAGATAAGTTATCGGCGTTCGATGATCTTCTTAGTGCATCACCTTTTTCAATGAAATTACCTTCAAAATCATGTGCTTAAGATAGATTTCTCGTAAGGTTACATACCGAAATGTTTGGGATCCCATTCAGCACTTCGATAATCTTACAGATACTGTTCAAAAAAGTCTACAATTGTAATTTTTTTCAAAACTCATTTTATTCCGAGGAAAATTTTGATGCAAATTCAGGTACTGATTGATTGCGAGGTGAGAATTTATTGAATGATGTAAATCATTATCTGACAATGGAAAACCAATAGGTTATAACAGTTGTTTATCTGATTAATACGGCAGCAATATCTGATTAATAAAAAGTAAATGATTAATACGGCAGGAGAGACTCCTGCCGTATTAATCATTTACTTTTTATTTATATGCTGAGTGGTTGGTTGGTGACCCCTGTGACCGATTCGTGGAACGTGAATTGATTTCACGGCATTGTTGCTCTGTTCTTCTTAATTATTCATAATATATAGAATTTCGTTGTTAATTGGTTGTGCGATAGTTAATAATACATGTCATTAGAGATCTTTCCAGTCACAGTAATTCTTCATTGTCGATTCGGAAAGGTGATTGATTTATGGCTGACGGTTGTTCTCAACATTTGTTCGAGCGAACATTACACGCTCGATGTTCACCCGACCAATCGAAGTGATAATCACTCGGCACTATTTGCGAGTGACCCGATACCTTTACGATGACCAAATTAATTATCGAGATTGGAATTTTTTGAAGACGAATAATCATTAGCGTTATTACCGCTAGCTGTGTGAAAAGAATGACGTCAAGGAAGGAAGCAGTGATATTTGTGATAATGATGATAAAAAAGAGACATAAACTCAGAATGAATTGTAATTGCTCGGTGAACAAGTAAATAAATAGAATTTATGAGAGTAATCGGCTAGAACGAAATATTCAAATTCGTTGAAATGCAAACCTTTTCCTGAACGATTTGCATCGCTAATTGGAGCTATCTAAAAATCAACATTCCAGTTATAATCTTTGGAAAATCCCTCATAGTAATACCCTATTCAAAACGCTTCCCATATCCCGTTGATACAGCTTCAATGATGTAATGCAAATGCCCTTTTCACTTATTCTTTACAATTTTGCACTGCTACAAATATGGATCCTTTGCAGTGGATGTGTTGAATTGCTAAGGGAATTCACCAGCTCGTTTATCAATTGGCTGTGAGATGCAAAAGGAAAAGTGCTCACCGTTGGTGCTGTATTACGCTCACTTCTCGCTGTCTTCAATGAAATTCGTTTGCCAATTGATTGTTCACTTCTTTGTTAAACCCATTTCATGCACCATTAACAATCCTCCATGACCGATACTTGAAGAAGATCATTAAAAAAGCAAATTTCCATTGAACTTCACTCACTCTTATCACCTCATGCGAAAATCGTAGTTCTGGTGGTTCGGGTGGCGGCGACTTTCTACCGACAGATGCACGCTCCATCACTTGAATTTCATCCTTTGTGAAAATGTCACCGTGTAATCGTTGACTTTTTGTTATCTTGAATTATTTTAGCGATTATACCAAATGAGCGCAATGCATGTATTGGATCAAATCGATAATCTCATTGGATGAATTGTAAGGCAATCAAGGAGCATTGATACGGGAAAAATAATGCAGTATATTCAAACCATTCGCTTGATCGGTTCAACAACTGAAGTGATCAATGATGAGAAATCGATGCGTGTAGATTACAAGAAATTGACACAAACCTCATCACTGGGCATCCGTTGCAATTGAAGTAATTGTATATGTCGCGCAATCCATTCAGCGCCATCGAATGGTCTTAGGAATAAAAGAGATAACAGAACCACTTTCACGAAATAATATCCTCGTACACTGTGATAGGATGGATCCAATAAAGTCAACATTGAAAATGCACCCCTAAATTGAGATGTTATGATTGTTAACATTGCTGTTATTATACTATCATTATTTTTATTATTGTTTTGATTATAAAATTCTCATTATCATGAACCTATTGGTATCCGGACATTTTGCCTAAAGATGTTTTGCCTAAGGACAGTTTGCCTAGTAGGTAAAATATTCATTGAAAAACCGTCCGTTAGGCAATGTGTCTTTAGACAAACTGCCGTTAGGCAAACGTTTTTAGGCAAATTGTCTGGTCACGATCACTATTAGTCTTGTCAACGCTATGGATCATTTAAATGTCTCAAAGTAGCATCTCACATTTGCTCAAAATGTCATTCTTTAAAACAAAACAGCGATCAGTTACAATAAATGAATGTTACCAATAAATGAGCAATTGTGGTACAGGTGGTGTTTCATCGGGATACAAATAGGTGAGTAATAACGGAATGATGGTAAGAATTGCATTCGCCAGCATATGCGCGTTATCGCTTGCGATTAGATAGAACGACGTTATCGACGTGATCAAGCACGCCAACGTGAACTCATCAACGCCACTCGATGTCTTTAACTGACGTAATCCACGTGCTGTGAAGTGTCGCTTAAATTCTCCACCGTTATTCTACTCATCTAAACTTGACTAGATGCAACCCAAATTGTGGCCTAAGCACAAATCGAAGTCAACAATACAATTCAGTAGAGATTCAATTGATCTTTCGATAATAGCCCGGTTGATCAGAAAATCCGATCGGAAATTGATACGATGCGCGTTCCAACCTCATTCGCAGAGAAGTGTTGCTTGATACTGGACGGCGTAGTGATATCATTAATACGCTATTTGGATGAGTATCATTGCTTGATACAAGCTTTATCCATGGATTTACTAATATGTCTTTTCATTATCGTTGCATCTCCATATTAATGGTCAGGATTACTCTAATGTTACACGAAGATAACCGTTAGCTATGGGCCAACTAAGATTTACACATGACAGCACAAGCTTCCCACTGAACGTCTAGGAGAGATAAAAGAAAGTGAAACCTGATCATATATGAGTTCAGTGAGGTGCTCTTGAATTACACTTGATGAACTCATCAATGCACCGCCTCGGAACTTTTCTAATGAAAACAATGAGACGAAAGGATTGCAAGAGCCTAACTAGCGATGGTGCACGATGTGGAATTTGAATTATCAATTATCATAAATTAATTACATTGAATAACCAAACACGGCTCAACGACATTGCTACATCATTCATTTCCGAACAAAACATCCCCCAGCGAGCTGGATCCGAACTCGTGAAGTAATAATTTTCAGTCGGATTTAAATGCTCTGCCTTTACAAGTTTTATTGACGAAACAGTTCTTTAATTGCATGTTTCCGTTTGAAATAATCATGGCTTTACTTCATGCACCTAATTGTTCGTTTTTATATCAACTGCAACGTAGAGCCCTTTATTGAATACAATCGCTTGTTATAATGATGCAACTATACGCAAACAATTATCTTACTATTAGTATAACACAAGCGAAACCTTATTGAACGTCCATCCATTAATTAAGCAAAAAAGTCCAAACAAGTGTTGCGATAAACTCATTTCGGGAATGGCTTATTTCAATTCAATAGCGCAGTGGCGCTCATTCACACAAACCGATCACTATAGAGCAATCAATACGTTCATATTAGCAATAGGCGGATTGCGATCTTCGAGCTAACCGTCTTCTCAGGTTTGCCCGGAAACATGCGAATTTCTTTTAACCGTTCGATCCAGCAAAACCTCTAGATTCAGAATATCATAAATTTTACTGAGCAATCTGGCTTAGTTGAGGAGATATAGGCATTTTATTAATACTATCTCGGGTGTCACCTTCAAGGCTACCATAAACTCAAGTTTGCCCACTAACATATGAATTGTTTTGCATCTGTCGATCCAGCTGGATCTCTTCGTTCAGAAAAACATATATTTTGTCGAGCGATTTTGCTTTCCTGACAGTGAGGATATATAGCCATGTTCTGGAGATCTAGCTCAATTCAATAGCGCAGTCGCGCTCATTCAGAGTCGATCTCAACTGAATGGGCACGAACTTCGTTTCCCCTACGACCTCCTGTGTGATATCATTTCAGTATCCTCTAGCGACGCACAAACTGAATTGGTCCTGTTGCCCTCTTACACGGCTCCCATTTTGCTCTTCCAGCAATTGCTATTGTAGATACAAAATGAACATCATTTTTTATCAGTGATATCCGAATAGACAGTTTTTTGAGTGCATTCGTTCAACATTTGATGTGATTTTAAAATCATGAACGCTTGCTGCATGCTTTTGTCAATAAACGTTTATTGGAATTCATCATTAACGGTAAGTAACCAAAAAGTCGAGATCAGTTCGTGTTGGCACAAAAATTTTTTCATTAATATTTACGATCTGAGAAATGCACTGTTTTCATTGCACTCACTGCGTACAAGAACACAGCATGACGAATAGAATCTGCTTCTCGTAGAAGTCTTCGGAAACTTCGAATGGAATTTTCTATCTCAAGATTGCTTCTTCTCAAAGCGTAGCTGCAAATTTTGACTTTGTCTCGAAAAATCACTAACGGCAGTATAATTTAGCTAACAAAACGATTGAGCAAAGGTTTCCTCAAACATTTTCTTATTTTATGAGACAGCAAACAATGGGAGAACAAAGCTCTTGAACTGGTCTGATCGATCAAAAATTGAGTAAGTACGTCAATTGAGGGAAGATTTTGCATTCTGAAGAGCGACTTCCCAAATGTCTTCGACAGTTCTTTACGATACTTTTCCGGAGAGCAGCAGCCAGAAACACTGCTCCAGATGATGAATGCAGAAAACGGTCAAAAATCAACAACAATTCGACAGATTATTATACATACAACAAGAGTTGACTTTCATAGTAACGGTTTTCACTGTAATGTCATTCGTAATGCTTGATTAAGGCCTACAACTTTCCTCCAATGCAATGCAGGCTCTGCACGAGCGGCCTCACCAAAATTCTCTTTGACAAAAGATTAGACCTCTCTTCGAGCGATAGAAAGCCCAAAAAATTGCTCGTTGCATTACGATGGGATGCAAGAGCAGAGGCTGATATTCTGTGTCAATTGATAGAAACGATGAAGATGAGCCACATTCAAAACAGCTCCTATCGAAGGGTTGATGCAATACTAGCGACATCGCCATATGTCGAGTCGACTTGTTGCATTGTTGCTTTCAGCGGAATGCTAAGCTCATCATCGAACCATGACTTTTTGGTTGTGAAACGAAGACTTTTGGACATCGCTGCTAAGCCGAAGTTGTGCGCGGCCGATACACACATTATGTACCTGTCAATTGATTTACATTATGTCGATTAATTATTACTTGGACATTAAGTGATTGTTTCGTTAATCGCAGTGGGCGATCGGCGGAATATTTATTTTATTAGAGTAATGATTATTTATTGGATTGATATTTGGCTACGATTAATTATGCAAGGTATTCACGGCGACTAATTATTTACTCGGTTGAGTTCGGTTGGCCAGCTNAGCCTGGCTAATGCAGGTAATGTCAGATTCACTCAATGAACGTGTATCTGCTGATTCATCGATCTAGAACTTTGAAGCACAAATGCAAAGCATCGAGTGCTGCAACCAAGCGTTGCTAATCTCATTTCGGAATCAAAAAACACCTCTCGATGAAAATAGCAATCAAACACTCAAAACTACTATCCTAATCATTCAGGAAATCCCAACGGAAACTTCACGTAGTTCAATTGCATCCGTTGAGTAATCAATGAAAAACAAAATTGGTAATCGCATAATGAAAATCATTCTTTTGCAGTTCATCTAGATGAATGTACCTTGTGTCAGGCGATAGATCTGTGATGGTGAATTTTTTCGACTTGCCGCATCGATATCTTTTCCAGTAGTGGAATTGTGGTGCTGGCTCTTGCGCGAACAAAATCACATAGCTCTGCAGTTAGAGTTTCAAACATGATTTGGTCATAACACTAAATGATTTTGGTGAGAAAACAATATCAACCATCCCAAAAAGATAAACAAACTAGTGAATTTGAATTTGTATTTTCCGTTTAAAAAAAGAATACTGAAAAATCAATATGGCATCAAAAGTGCTTAGCATTGAACACGTTTCATACAGCTATCAGAATTTCACATCATCCATTGGAAATGTTGAGTTTCAGATGGTCAATATGAAGATCGGTATGTGATCATTTTGGGTAGTCGTCATTTGCCCGTCGAACGGTTAAAAACAACTGCTTGAAGACAATCAGAGGGTATGAGTGCCCAATCTCAGACATTAAGCATTGCACGAAAACGTAATGTCACAGAATGAACAGTAGCAAAACGAAATGAAACCTCAGCCCCGTTGTTCTTCCGCGGTGCTTTCCATGAGAATGTGGCCGTTTCAGCGCTGATCGCTACCAGACGCAATGACTGAGGCACAGTGCACGGTTCTAAGAAGCAATTTTGTTGACTACATTCATTTCTCTCACGAAAGAATATTTGAATTTGATTGTTTGAAGCGTTTTGAATGTCGAATTACGAAAGCGCGATAGATTTTCTGAGCAATTAACCGCAGTCAATTGTTTAACAATTCTTGGAAGCTTTCCTCCTTAATAAGTAGATCAAATAGTAATATAGTTTTATTGACAAAGTATTACCTGCGCAATTAGAGATGGTTTTTACGACGTTCAACGTTTCGGCGTTAACAACAACATGTTCCTGAAGATGGTATAACGCCGAAAGATGGCATAATCGTAAAAACCATCTCTAATTGCGCCGGTAATACTTTGTCAATAAAAGTACATTACTATTTGATCTACCAGTCAGTTGAATTGCCAATAGTGATGAAACGTTTGAATAGTCACCTGTATATTCTTGACATTTGATGGATTTACTGCAACCGTAACGAGTTGTTGTGACAACAGAAAATTCATAGAGCGTAAATGACTGCAAACTTCGAACTTCATAATAAGGAGTGGTGATGAAGTCAATCACGGTCATTGGATTGTAACGCAATTGTGGTGTTCTGAAACATCCCTTTGGGTACAGATTCAATTTAAGGTGCACGCTGCAGCACTCACCATTATGCATCTCACCATCTCAGTTTCACTCCTACAGAAGATCCACTTCTTTGGTATATTCTCATGCATTTAATCATTAATCTAATTTTGTAATGATACAAATGATTTTCTTCGTATTTACCAAACTTGATATCCTCACTCATACTAACCTGGTTTTATAGGTGAGTGTGTACCAATATTTCCTCCTTTCGTCCACAAGCACTGGTGGTTCCCATTTCAGTAGAACAGATTCAGCAGTTGCATTAGAAGCAGTCAGACTGTGTGGTGGTCGAGGAGGTTCTTCAATTACAAAGAAAGATATCTTCTTAAGTCAATTGCTTAAACGACTAATAGTGGTGGGAAATGTCATTCAGTAATTTATATCTTCACTCGTAGATTAGCGATTGCTCTTAAGGTATTCGCAGAATGCCCTTTTAAGATGAAGACATGAAATCGCACATGGGCTTTTGCTCTTAAATGTGCCGAAAAACGATTATTTCATAAAATGGAGAATTGTTTTGAATTTCCTTTTAAAAGAACCATTCGACGATCGCTCAAGAATATAAAAACTGCAAGGGAATGAATGAGAGCGAATGAAATACAGGAACGTGTGAAAGAGATAATTGGCCTCTGACCTGGTAGCTTTATTGGATTGTCATTATTACTGGCTTGGTTATCAGAAGGCACATTGTTTTGGTAACCTACAAACGGTTATAATTTCATCTAAAAAATGAGTGTCGCTGGTATCTTCAATAACTAAACAGACAAAATTGTATCCAGACTGTATTCTACCGAATCCTTCTCCATAAAGTTGAATGCATAAACGTGTTTCAGACGAGTTCATCTGAACAAAACAACATGAAATATGCTAATCGTAAGTAAAAAGAAACACGATCTCAGTGTATTCCGGTTCGATCACAGCATTTTCATAATTCGTTACTAACTTCCAAAATGCAAATGTTGTAAAGCAGTAACAGTTTCGAACAGTTTCCGCATCGCTTCACGTTTCATCGCCCTTATACGCTTTTGTTGAACCGCTTTTAGCCATGCTAAAGGATCCTAAACAAGAGAAAATTGGATGCGTTCTGGCACATGCGATTATTCGAATTCGAATAATCGCAACGATTTCGAATAATCCTATCGATTTCTGCAGTACCAAATTACGAAAAAAATGAGATTCAATCGCAATTAAAATTCAATTCAGTTAAATTCTTCGAAATGTCAACAAATGAAGTTAATTTGTGGGCTGCCAGAGTGTCAACGAATAAAGTTAATTTGTGCGACTGTGCATAATTCTGAGTTCATATTGCATGTATTTATAACGACTACCTGTGTTTCGAAACGTCTTCCAAAGAAGTGCAGCCTATCGATATAATATGCACCAACGACATCAATTGATGTGGTCATTAAAACTAAACCAACCAAAATAATGAATAGCGTTATTAGAATGAATCTTTGATTCGTTGGTATTAAGTCTGAAAGATGAGTGAGTATCACACCATAAGCATTGCATCTATCAAGTGTAGAGCGCATTCGATCAAATTCTCCGAACGATACCATTAAATAGCAAATAAAATATACCTCCAAATCCAATCGTAAGCACAGATGTCATAACAAAGTAAAAGCCATCATAACAACTCCATCCTTCAATGCGCGACATAAGATAGGTGGCTATCAGTACGTAGAGTAAAAGTACCGAATATATCAGCACGAACGGTACTTCCACAAAATGGGTGTTCTCCAAATGTGCCCACAAAAATTCAGCAACCTAAATAAAATCTCCTCATTATCAACCCTCAAACTAACCTGATCGTGAATCGATAAAGCGCACTGATAAAGTTTCGCTAAAGTAACAACTATTTTATTGTCCAAAACACGACACTGAAATGTAATAATACGGATAGGGGACGAAACAGCAGAAAACAACGGTTCTTAATTGGCTCGGAATTGAGGAGTTGGTAAAGCAATGCTGATTTTTGTCCTCAACCATTGTATCATTTGCTTGATTGTTTTTGGCTAATGAATTGCTGGAGTGTAGGGGATGACGGTCTATAATAAGGTAAAGAAGCATGGGAGAGTGAGAAACACACATGAAAAATGAATTCAGAAACATCTGAACGCCAATCACGCGTTCATTCCGTCAGCATGCTATTCTCCCGGGGATCGAACACAAATTTGAGTATTGCAGAAACATCGAAACACAAGTCAAAATATTTAGATAAAGTGAAAAATTCTGCGGCACCTCATCGTCTCCACCAGCAATAATAATTTCACCAATCGCAACACTTTCACGGCGCTTTCGTCCACTCTTCCAACGTCGATATTTACGTTGTATTTGAAACTTATACTTCAAAACTTCCGTGTATGTTCGATTCATTCCTTCTGTACAGAACTTTGCCTGAGAAAATANATGAAATTTTGCTACGAAAGTCAACTTCAGACAAGTGATTGTGTTTCATGATGTACATGTTTCAAGCTTCGCTCATGGGCATTTTTCAGTGGCTAAATGTAAAGTTTTCATAACATTCAGTTATTTCCACGGACTAATTTCTAAATTAGAAGTGTCTTAAAGAGATTTGCAAAAGCGATGATTGTCATAAGAATAATAGGTAAAAGGGAGAAAGAAGAATAGGCGAAGTCTGCAATGAACAGTACCATATCAGCTATTGTGATAAGGTAGAGAGGAATACCAAAGAGAATATAAACAACTATGAACAATCGTCCAATCACTGAATTTGGAGCATTCGCACCATATCCTTAAAATTGAATCGATTCGACCCATGCTCAACCTTTTACATGGAAATAATGTAACATATGAATGACATGAAAGCACCTTAATCATGTAACACTGATATTCACATGTTCTCGTGGCATTACACATATTGATAATTCTCGTGGCATAACTGATATTCTCGTGTGAAAAGAATGTAGTAATATCAGTCATAGTCAGTATAACGTTTAGTATGTTTGGTGTAGTGGATGTGCGATGGTTGTTTATGCAGGCGGTCGTGGTTCAACGCCTAGTGATGAATGAAGATAAACAGATAGGGACATCTGTGCTCAGTGATGACAACTCTGATAGTAGAACTGACATCACTTTACAAAATCTTTATGCTGTCTTCGAAAACTATTGTTCGCATGCTATGTGGTCAACAATCAAGAAAGGTCGATTTCTGTTTCATAGATAACTATCGAAAATTCAATCTGATCGCTTATGGGTACAATGCTGGTTTTATATTGCATGCTTAAGCAGAATATAATGACTTTGTATCGATGCCGACTTGAGAACGCATGAGCTCAATTAACACTTTCCAACGAAATTATCAAGAACTGAAATATGCCACGAGAATATCAATTCACGGAAGAAATTTAATTTCGACAACTGGTAAAAGATGAAGATTCACAAACGGCTTCACCAATTGATGTGAGGGTTGTGGCTGCAAAAAATAGATTCCATGTTACATTCGACATTGGATCATCATACGAATATGGCATTCCAGACTGAAATCAGTTGATATATGAAAAGACTCATATCGCTGATTTGATCGTCAAGCAACGGAATTTTGGTTATGATTGAAAGAACGACTCAAGAAATAATGCAGCCAAAGCGAATATGACTCAATTAACATAGCATTAATGTAAGAGGTAATTGTAAATATTTCACCAAGATTTTCTTAATAACAGACGGTGATTGTGGATACTCTCGGTAGATACTGTGAAGAGTATCCGAAAAATTCGTAAACGCATGCCCAGCGTCTAACATCCACGAGGAATGCCATCGAGAACGTGTCAGCTGCGTGTAGAAGGATTTCTTCGCCCTGAACATCATGAACAAATTCATGAATATCTGCTAGAATGTATATTTGATGTAGGTGACGCACGCAGGAATGCCGCAATGAGTTGATCGCTTTGCACTCAGAAATATGCGTTCTTGATAACTGTGTTTTTCGATTGGAAAAATTTTNTATTGAGACTCAACTATCTTACAGTTTCGTATTGGTATTTAGTGCATTCATTGACAACTTAAAAAGGAAAATGCAAGTGAATAAAATAGAAAATGAAGAGAGAACCTATCGAGTTGATCAAGAATCTCGTCAGTTCCATCGCGATATTTGATCGACGTGAGAATCCAACTGCCCAGTATCGCATACCCAACAGACAATGCCAAAAGACTCACGTGTGGTAGAGCGATTCGTAAAACCTTAACTTCTTCCGGTGAAACTTTGATTTTTACATTAGTTTTCGGGGAGTTCCTCAATTCTGATCGATGCTTGACTCCGATATCACTTTCAGATGAATGAACTTTTAGGATGTTTCATTCCATATACCAAAAAATGGTGAAAGTATCGATGATAATCGGGTTTCTGATAAGATCTGGAAGTTATGAGGATATATGAGGAAATTAGCGTTGGATAACTGATCACGATCGTATATCAATTTCGATCGATCACATGTGAGAAGATAAAATGGTAAGTGGAAACGGAAAGTTCTGACTAATTGCTTGGTTAGACTGAATTGGCTTGGTGTGACTTCAGTGAAACGACAACCGCTTTGCATAATACCACACATTGTAACTGTGTTGCATTCTCGGCTAGCATCAGTGGGTTACGGACGATAAATATGATTCGTACATGCTTCCAATGATTTTACCTAGAAATCCTTAAGAATCACGCTTTTTCGATCGTTTTAATAGCGACTGATCTCAATGAATCAAGATGCAGGTTCAAAACAAAACAAGTTCGTAACACATGATCAATGTAAGTCACGTCATTCGAGATAGTGTTTGCAAAATATCGAGCATTTTCTCAATACCGAGATCGACATTAAAACTGGGACCTTTTTTAATAACGATACGATACCACTATTGAAAAGCAACTTTTGCAATATAGAAATGCGACTTGTTCAACACATTCTTCTTGAGCCAATATGTTCGTAATCATTCAGAAACCAATTCATCTTACAAACCACTCACCAAAGTTCAAAAAATTCAACAAAAAATACAGCAAAAAACAAAATTGGGTTCGATTCACGCTTCAACCGTGATGGGTATACTACCAAATTCACTTAAAATGACTTCTGGTATGAATACCGCAAATACCGTGAATATCGACATCACGAATCCCGAGATCGGTATCGCTTTTCTAATACCCCTATTCGGTATTACCGAGATCTCGTTCGAACACTAGTTCGACAGGATTAGATTTCAACAAAACATCGAGGGAATGGCTACTAGCATGGATGAGTCAATGCTTCTGGCAGCATATCATTCAAAAAGACGTATTGCGACGTTCCATTCTCAACACAACACTTCATCATACGTCGAAAAAATGTTTATTAAATGGCACGTAAAACACTGAAAATGATCTGTTCCGATGGGCACCCACGAGAATGCTCGTATAGTCCCAACCTTAGTGCCAACCTTAACCTTAATAGACATATATTAATTGCTTCGCATCACGTTACAATTATTACTACGTCCACTACCGGAGCATGTAACATCGCTGCTCATTTTTATCTCAACATCTATTCATTTTCAATTGTACTTTCAATTGTACTAATTGATTTTATGCACGATCTTCATAACGACAACAAAATTTCAATAATCTCCATAACGAAACTGACAGAAGTTGTGTGTAAAATGAACAAATAATATCTGGATTATTCGAGTGAATCGTTGGAAAGTGCAATTTAAATTATTGTCAGTCATGCGTGAGATAGACGACCGGCCGTTGGCTGGCATTAATATCACAACTGCTTGATGTGAAATAATCAAGGAGATGTTATGAAAGTTCATAGAGAACATCAAAGGGAATATTTTGTAGAAGACGAAGGGTACGGTAACGAATCAGTTCCACTCCCGCGACATGTGACACATTCAGAAATTACTATTGAGAAATTTGTCGTAAAATTTCGATTTTTCTCGCTTCGTTGAATCAACCGAAATAACGCCCAACTTCAAAACATCACAAATTGTTATTCACAAATACTACGTCTTATCGTAGTGTCGTCTGCTGAATTCGCTGAAAACTTAGCAGGAAGTTTGTTCCATAAGCAATCGTTTTCATACACTTGCTTCCAGTTGCGTCGTAAAACTCTCATTCTGTCCACGCAGAATTGTTCCCGTAAGACTATTGATTACTTCCATCGAAGTCGTCAAGTAACCAATAGTCTATTTTTGTGCATCACAAAATGATGCAAAAACACAAATTTTTTCGTGTTGTTTCTGAACAAAACTTCATTTTGAATGAGGCAAAAGAATATTTTGGAATCGATTTTTGAATTGTGAAGTGCCTTGAAAGCTTTCAAAATGTGCGTTCATTTGATTCACCAAAAAAAGATCTCTCAAAAGCATGTGTGTGTCATCAAACGCTGAAGTGATAAGCAATATCGCATTCAAACATTTGTAAGTGACAGTTTATTCACTGCACAATTTTCTCTCCTTTATTTCACAGCAGCAACACTTTCAAATCGCATCATAAAATCCGAAATTTTTTCAGTAGACAAATCATATCTGATCATTTTTCAGTAGATAATCATTCGCTTGAAAATTTCGAAATTTAGATGTGTCCAACCGAGAGGACACATCTAAATTCTGCCATCATTGCACTTCTGTTGCACAGTAATCTTATCATAATATTAGTCCACTCGGAGCATACACCTCCGCCTCTCGAAAAAACCCTTGCATGAATATATTCCCTCTGTGTTGGAACATCAAACATTCGCCCTGCTGCACATTTCATGTTATCATATTTAAATTCGTTGCTTAAAGAAGATGAAAGCTGACAAGAGCACTGCTTCATTGGTTGAGTGTTACAGAGCAAAGAGTCACTCAGAATCAGAAAAAAATTTCATTTCAAAATAATTCCACATTCACATATTTTGATTGGCAGTTGCATTTGCACAAATCAAACAGATATATATTGGCACTTTACAAACACTTTGAAATGAAATTGTGAATCCGAATCTAACTGCGGACATAAACAGTGCACTATTTTGAGAGAAAAACTATAGACATTCAATCGGATAAGTAAAACTTGTAAAATATCGGACTTCTTCACATTTAATTTGATGATCGAAGATTGAAAAGAATGTTCATAACGGAATATTCCAAGTGAAAGTGAGACAAGAATAAAGGAAAAGTAATCTAGAGCGATTGTTGATGATAGAGTTGGATTATTCTTCGAATTTTCGGTCAGCGCTATAAGAGTATCAACACTTTTGAGGAAATGATTCGAAATGCACAATGCACTTGAAAGCATCGTTCTGTGCAAGTTCCCATTAACATAGAACATTTACCGATTGTTAAGACGAATGAAACAAAGAATTGTAAACTCTGAATCAGAACACTGCAAAAATAGAAAAGCTGCATGAAAATAAACTCAGCCACTGTATGAAATTATTCTCCAGAGATCAACACAGAACGAACATCAGTGCAATAAATTACTTCAGCAAACGAATAACAAATGAAGACGAGCGAGATGCGGAAGAAGATTGAACGGAAGATGAATCGCCGCATAAATATTAGCATTACGTTGGTTCGTGAAAATAGCGATGACTCAAATCAATATCGAATAAATTAAATGAATTATTTAGCGCAATCCATAAGTACACATCAATATGTAATACACTCACTTATTTGAAAGGCAATAAAAATATCATGCCGTAAAAGCATAAAGAAAATGGCATTGGAATGAATGAATAATGCCTTCAGAGGGTGGATCCATCCATCGCTGAGCTAAGTCAATGAAGACGAGGAGCTGCGAAAAAGACACGACAACGACACAACGAAAAAGCTGGAAGCGATTTGGGATATGAGCTGAAGTAATTTAAGACTAATCATTGTATAGGATGGCGCATGAGGTGCATACTCCATAGGGAAATCACCTATACCCATTTCTGTTGTTAAGATCTTATATAGGGACCACTTTGTTGTGTTATTCCAGTATTCACTCAAATGACCATTTCATTTCAATCGCACCACATGTTCACCGTTTTTTTCATTGCACCTGCAAACAATCGTTTATTTATAAATGTTTTTATTCTCATCGAAGATTTTTTTGTTCACACAAACAAAACAACCCTAACTAGATTAAACGTTTCTTCACACAATCAGTAAGATGTCAACGAGTGAACCTTCCAAGATTTGAGAGGCAAATCTTTATTGATACGATCATTTCGACCTCTATCAGCAATGGAGAATGCTCATAACTTGTATCAAAGGACAATTTATTCGCTAAGTGAAGGAAAGGACATTCACAGTAACCAGTAGATCAGACTGAAACAAAGATCGAAATAAATCAAGAGCGAGCTTAATTCAAGAATCTCATTGACTCATTTCTTTCTTATGAAACTCCACATTATTAATCGTAATCTGAAGGATATTGGCTGAAATGTTTGAATTTCGGATAACATATAAATTAGTTGAAATGCATGGACATCACCAACGCATGAATCTAGAGGACTCTTTTTGAAACTTAAGTCCTTGGTCTGTTAAAAGGAAACCTTATCATAAAAACATTATGCAATACAGCACAATATTCTCTTAGTCTTTGGTTCCCAAATAATGTATTCTTGAGAAAAATTTTAAAAAATTGTTAGTAAATCTCTTGACCTCTGACATTCTCCATAAGTGTCCTCTTAAAATCGGGCAAAATCTGGTTTGAACGATTGAAAATACAAAACCGTCAATTTATCATGGGTGAATTTATGACCTCTTATAGGTAGACGATAATTTTTCGAAAATTCGTACAAACGATGGATTGTTTGGACACTGGGCGATTGGTTTGCCGATGGCTCTATGCGATCGGCTAAGTGTTCTTCAGTGTTGCGATTGTTTAATGGATTGGTATTCGGCTGTCTTCAATTCGGCAAATTATTTATGGCAACATGCATTGGTTATTGCTTGGAATGTTATGGAATGCTTGTTACGCCGATTACTGTGGATCTATTCGGTTACGTTAATTTTTTATTAATGATACTCAAAGATTGATTCACTACTGTTGTTTGCAGTTTGCAGAATGTTGGTTGTTCCATACAGCTACTCTGAGCAATCGTTGGACGAATGTTCAATCGATCAATCGGAATGAGTTTTCGGGCTCCTTTTAAGTCCCTCTCCCTAGTAATCATTGGGCAATATGGGATGGAGAGTAGCCCAAAACCTCTGTGCTTGCCAAGTCAATAATCAAAGTTAGAATTTCATGAAGATAGATGATTCCCAACTAGGGTTTGCACAGGATCCCGGGATCCCGGCACTTCAGTTCTGATTCCGACCCCGGGATTTAAGTTTTGA